GGTCCTACTTCTTCTTTTTTTGTTTTTTTCCTATTTATATGGCTATAAAACCTTTTACTATTGGTTTTAATTCCCTTTGCAAGGTCCAACTCTACCTGACTTTTAGCCTTTCTCACTTTATCCCTACATGCTCTAACCTCAATAAGGTAGCTTTCTTTACTGATCCCTCCCATTTTCCACTCCTTATATGCTTTCTGCTTTTTCTTAATCACCTCTCTGAGATGCTTGCTCATCCAGCTTGGTCTAACACACCTGCCTACAAGGTTCTGTTCAATGTCCTCATCATACATTTACATGATGATGTAAAAAGAGCAACTTATGAGGTTACCAAGCTGGGAGGGGTTGCAAGCAGCATACCCTGGAAGCTGAGCGCTGGGGCGGCCACCCAGCTGACTAGCAGAACGCCCACAGCACCCACAGCCTGCAGCCTGCGCTTCTACCAGTGGTGCACATCTGCATATGCCTCAGTGCACAGAACATTTATTCGGCACACAGATGGAAGAAGTCAGAGGGAACACTGGCTGCAAGTGCCTAGAGGATAGGATTGTAATTCAAATTGAGCTGGGCAAACCGGAGAAATGGTCCGAGGTAAACAGGATGAAGTTTAATAAGGACAAATGCAAAGTGCTCCACTTAGGAAGGAACAACCTGTCTCTCACATACAGAATGGGAAGCGACTGACTAGGAAGGAGTCCTGCAGAAAGGGATCTAGGGGTCATAGTGGACCACAAGCTAAATATGAGCCGACAGTGTGATGCTGTTGCAAATAAAGCAAACATGATTCTGAGATGCACGAACAGGAGTGTGGTGAGCAAGACACGAGAAGTCGTTCTTCTGCTATACTCTGTGCTGGTTAGGCCTCAGCTGGAGTACTTTGTCCCGTTCTGGGCACCGCATTTCAGGAGAGATGTGGGGAAACTGGAGAAAGTCCAGAGAAGAGCAACAAAAATGATTAGAGGTCTAGAAAATTTGACCTATGAGGGAAGAGTCAAAGAAGGGGTTTGTTTAGTGTGGAAAAGTATTCATGTATCTAAAAGATTATTGCACAGAAGAGGGAGAAAAATATTTCCCTTAATCTCTGAGGATCAGACAAGCAATGGGTTCAAATTGTAGCAAGGAAAGTTTATGTTGGGGATTAGGAAAAACTTCCTGTCAGGGTGGTTAAACACTGGAATGAGTTGCCTTGGGAGGTTGTGGAATCTCCATCTCTGGAGATATTTAAGAGCAGGTTGGACAGACACCTGGCAGGGATAGTCTAGATGGTGCTTGGTCCTGCCATGAGGGCAGGGGACTGGACCTGATGACCTCTCAAGGTCCCTTCCAGTCCTAGTGTTCTGTGAGGCTCTTTCTTCTCTGAGGGTGGATGTGTGGGTTGGGGGGTAGGGGGGCAGAGGGTTGGGTGAAGTGTCTAGGTGGGGGCCCGTGGTGGAAGGGACTATGGATGTCTGGTCTCCTGGCGTGGTTGGGGGCTGGGGAGAGGGGGTGGAAGAGGGCAGAGAAACAGGGTTGTCAAAGGGGTTTCTTTAACTCTCTACTCGAGACAGTTAAGTGCCCTGGCAGATGGCGAAGAGGTATGAAAGGATCTCTCAGAACTGGGTGACTGGGCAGCAAAGCTGCAAATGAAATTCAGCCTTGAGCAACGTGAAATAATGCGGATTGGAAAGCAGAATCCCAGCAGCAGGTATCAAACGACAGAATCTACACCCGCTGGTGCTGCTCGAGAGGGAGATCTTGAAACCACCGGGGAGAGTTCCCTGAAAAGATCCACTCAATGTGGAGCAGCAATCAAAGTGAACAGAATCTCACATTGCCCCTATATAAATGCACGGTGCTTGTCCTGCCGAGGGGCAGGGACTGGACGCAACGACCTCTCGAGGGCCCTGCCAGTCCTAGTGTTCTACGGTTTGTCCACATCTTGAATACGGTATGTAGACGTGATCGTCCCATCTCAAGACAGACAGACTGTAATTGGAAAAGGTTCAAATCGGCAACAGATATAATTAGGGGTATAAAATGGCTACATAGGAGAGATCAATAAGATTGGGACTTTTCAGCTTGGAAAAGAGACCATTAAAAGGGGATACAAGAGAGATTTATAAAAGTATGAGGTGTGGAAAAAGTCAATAAGCAAAAATACTTATGTGACGTAGTGGGGGTACCTTGCTGGTTGCTGTGCTGGGCAGTGGGTTGTGAGTGTCCTCTACTGGCTGCTGTCTGCAGCACGGCCCAGCAGGGCAGGGGATGAGTCATTATGCAAGGGGGCTCCGAACCTGTCTGACCAGTGATCTCCCAGGGAGCGGAACAATGGGAAGGGGAGTGGAGCCCTGGCTGGGGGCAGGGCTGGGAGTGAGGGAGTTAGGTTTCTGGCTGGGATCATGGAGGAAGCACCCTAGGCAACAGGCTACATTAAAGTGCTACATTGTCCTACATTTTGCTTCACCTAGGCAACAGGCTGAGATTTAGGGGCCCAGTCTCCCCCATCTCAAGGGGGGCTGAGGCATCCTAGGCCTGCCCTGTAACCAGATTACATCTGTCCTGTATCCTGGAGAAGCAATAAACTCCCTCTGTTCTACTGGCTGGTGGAGTCTGTTCATGCTGCTCCAGAGGTGCAGGGACGGGGGAACCATGACTACGTCGTCACAACTTACTTGCTCCCATAATATAAGAACTAGATGTCACTAAATGAAAATTAATAGATAGCAGGTTTAAAACAAACAATAGAAAGTACTTTTTCATGCAATGCACAGTCAACCTGTGGAACTCCCTGCCAGAGGACGTTGTGAAGTCTGGGATTTTAACAGGGTTCAGAAAAAAGAGCTAGATACATCCATGGCCATTAGCTAAGCTGGGCAGGGAGGCTGTCCCTGGCCTCGGTTTGTTAGAAGCTGGGAATGGGTGACGGGAGGGATCTGGGTGGGAAGGGTGGGATGTCTGGTCCCTGGATGATTCCCTGTTCTGTTCACGCCCTCGGGGGCACCTGTCTCTGGCCATGGTCGGAGGCCAGGATAGGACACTGGCCTAGTCGGATCTTTTGCAGCATTTTAAAACATTGTGTTTAGAATGTTTCAGGGTTGGGTGAGGACGGCCCCCAGGTTACAGGGCCGGGGCACATGCGTGCATGCGCACACAAGCCAAACATCCCAAAAAAGTGGAAAAAGAACATTAGCTGGGGTGTGCAGAAGTTAGAAAACGACACTCCCTCCTCCCCCACGGCACCTGCCCCCGGGTGCTCAGGGTTTATCACGCCCAGCCAATGACGCCTGCTTTGGCTCTGTGGTGCTGCAGTCACAATGTCAGGAAGGGGGCTCTGGTGAGTGACCCCCCCAAGCTTCCCGACGGCTGCGGACTAGAAGCTGATGCTGCCAGAGAGGCGGAGCCACCGCAGCCTGGGGCACATGCTTGAGGAACAGGGGCCTGGGGCGGCCATGTGGCACCTAGCCCCTCCCGCCCCCAGGCCAGGAACGCTCCCCACGCAGGCCACGGCACGCGGCGGAGAAGGACTGGATTTATTGAGTCATGACTCGTTACATCACAGTTGGGGAATTCTCCGTCCCATCCCCGAGGACACCGGATTCCTTCCAAGTCAAAGTGCGCAGAGACGCTTCACAGTTTGAATGCTTCATGTAAGCAGAACTGAGGCAGTGACAATGGCAAACTCCAAATCGCCATGGCGGCCATGTGAAAAAATAATACAAACTCTTCTCTTTAAATATAGTACAGAAAATTAACCTGAATAAACGTAGCATGAACAGCAGCATCGCACCGCAAAACCTGCCAGGGCTGCCTCCAGGCCAGAGCTCTGCCGGCCTTCCCCCGAGACCCCGCCCGGCGCTGGGCAAGAGGCTGCAGCCCCCGCACGGAGCCTTTGTAGTGCGTGAGAAAGGAAAGGAAATCAGCTGTTGCCCCCCTTCTCTGAAAACCCAGAGCGGTGCGCTTGCGACCGTCGGGGCACACCCTCCGTGGAGGGAGGCGGGAGCAGGCATGTGCAGGGAGGAGTCACGCTGCAGAAGAGACATGCACATCACTGTACAGACGCGGGGAGAGGGAGGTGCGCAGCACGGACACGCTCACTCTCACTCACAGGCCGGGCACCGTCACGCCTGCTGAGACACGCCCGGCGCATGCACCCGCGCCAGCCCTGCAGGCACCGCGCCCCCACGAGACACGCCCACCCCCACGGGCACGGCGCCCCCGCGAGACACGCCCAGTACCATCCTACCCCATGGGCTCCAGCCAGCCAAGGATGCTGGGGGGCTCCACAGCCTGTCACGCACGAGGCGTGTGGTCCCTGGGGCTTAGCTCTGCCCCAGGATCCCGGCGGACGGGAGCAAAGATGGAAGCAAGGAGAGGAGAGAGCGCGGGGCAATCCCGCAGGGCATGAGCAGCCAGCACCCCGGGGGAGCTGGGAAAGGCTTTTACCGAGAGGTGTGCTGGAGCAGGGCAGGAAAGGGGCCAGGATCAGACCCCTTCTGGCAAAGGCCTGTCAGGCCTGGCTGGCCACATGCCAAGCTCAGTGCTGGCAAAGGGAGGGGGGCTGGAGGCTCAGGGAGGGGGAGTGACACAGGGACCCCAAAAGGGTTTGTGGGACCCCCCATCACTAAGGAGGGGCACTGCCACAGTTATCCCCTGGGCCGAGGGCCCCGCCCCTGAGCAATGCCCACATTCCCCATCTCCTGCACCCCGCCTGCCCACAGCCAGGCAGCCCAGAGACCCCTTTGCTGTGCCGGGTCAGGCCCCTGGGGGGGGCAGGTCCCCCTTGCTCCGAGGAGCCTGCAAAGGCCTGTGCCGGCCCAGGCGTGGGGGAGAGCAGGCCCCGCCCTGCCGCAGGGGGCCATGTACCCAGGGCCAGGGCCAGCCTGTGCTGGGAAGTGCAGCAAGGACTGGACAGCAAACACGGCAAGAGAAGCGCCGAGCTGCGCTGAGGCACCCCAGAGATCCAGCCCTGGGGGAGCCGTGCAGACGGGGCTGCTCTGGCCCCCCCGGGCAGTGCACCC